GGCAGAAGGGTGTTGGGGTGCAGGACGGGGAGGTTTTGGGGACCCAGGGTCCCCTCTCCATGTGGCCTCGCTCACCCCAACCAGGCTACGGCTCAAATCTCCGTACCAGCCGAGGCCCTCCCCTTAATGAGCCTGATTAGCTTATCTCCCGCTGAATTTAGGGGTAATTAAACCCAGGATTAGCTCCTTCACCCTGGGACAAAGCCGATGGTGGTGGACAAACGGGTTGGGCCACTCGCCTTTCTCGCCCGCCCAGGGCACGGCTGGCACCGGCCACGGTTTGGGCTCTGTGCCCCATGCCTGCCCCTGCCCCCCGTGCCAGCACCCGGCGGGGTCATCGCCCGCCTGTGGAATTTGGCTGGGTCTGAAAGGCAGCGATAAGACAAATGCACGAGGGTGCCCTCGTGGTTGGGGTGCACTGAACCCCGATAACGCAGGCACCCAAACACAAGGGGCTAGCGGAGGTGGCCGTGGTGGGTGACAATCACGGGTTCTGCGTGTCCCCGGGCCCGCAATCCCGGCGGTGAGGGGAAGAAGTTTGCCAGTCCCATGGGAAGGGTGGGAATATGAAGAAGAATATGGGGCTCGGCGGTGCCCTGTGTGGTGGGACATCCGGGATGGTCCTTCCCTGGTGGGCAGCACCACGGGGGGCTCAGCCCGTGGGCTTGGGGGCCGGGGTAGGGTGGAGGTGGCAGAAGAGCGCCGTCCCAAGGGCCCTGCAGTGAGGCAGGAGGTTCCCGAATCCCGGGAAAGATGAGAGAGGGATGGGGGCCCACGAGCGGGATGGTCCAGCCAGCGGGACCCCCGAGACCCACCCAGGACGGTCCTGCTCTATGGGCAGCGCTATAGTGGGCTCGGCCCGTGTGTTTGGGGTCCGGGATGAGGGATGGAGGCAGTGGGAGCCTCCCGGGGCCGGATTTAGGGGGCAGGGTGGAGGCTGAAGGCGATGGGACGTCCCCGTGGCCAGGAATCGGGGTGAAGCCGGTATGTTTCGGGTGCGGAGCCCTCCAGAGCGGGGGTGTGCCGGTGGGTTCGGAGTCTGGGATGGGGGGGCTGGAGGAAGCGGCGGGAGCTCCCCGGGGCCGGGAGCGGGGGTGATGCCGGTGTGTTTGGGGTGCGGAGGGGGCTGTGGAGTCCCCCGGGGCCTGAAGCAGAAGCGCTGCCGGCGGGTTTGGGGTGCGGGGTGGGGGTGATGCGGGTCCCGCGGCGGATATGGGCGCACACTGGGGAGGATGGCCCGGCCCTGGCCCCGGTGCCCCCGCAGCCCCCCGGTCCCTCCGGCCCAGCTCACCTGGGCGAGCACCTCCGCCTGCGGCGGGCTCAGGTCCCCGACGCGGCCGCTCATGGTGCGCTGCGGGCGGCTCTGCACGGCCCCGGCGGCCGGGATGGCTCCGAGCACCTCCCCGGGACCGCCCCCACCCCGCCCGGCCCGGCCCCCGCCCACCCCCTGGCCTTGGACCCTGCCCGACCCCTGCCCGCCCGGTCAGCGCCCGCTGCTGCCTCGGGGATGGAGGGTGGGGGGTATGGGGGCAAAGAGAGGCTTGGGGGCTATAGGGGGGTATGGGAGACTTGGGAGGTTATGGGAGCTATGGGGAATTTGGGGGCATGAGGAGACTTAGGGGGTATGGGGATTATGTGGGTACTGGAGATATGGGAGCATAGAGGGCCTTGGGGATATGAGGGACTTGGGTGGGAGTGTAGGGGATTTGGGGACAAGGGGGATTTGAGGTCTCTAGGGTTCATGTGGGGTAGGGGTGCATGGGGAATATGAAAAACAGGGGACACAGGGGGGCATGGGGAACAGGGATTGGAGGGGGCAAGGGAGAAATAAGTGTAGGGGGCCCTGGGGGTTATGGAGTGTACAGAGAGAGTTTGGGGGACACAGTGGGGTAGAGGGAGTGTGGAGGGCATTGGGGTATGGAGATGTGGCCGTGGGGTGGGAGCATGGTGATATGGGGCGGGTATCAGGGAGAGAGGACAGTGATGAGGACTGTGACAGGGATGGGAGGTGGGGACAGAGATCAAAAGTGGGGCAGGGACAGGGATTGAGGTAGGGTGCCAGGTAGGAGGGACAGGGATGGGAGATGGCACTAGGGACAGATTGAGGGGTCAGGTGCAGTGATTTGAAGATGGGGATCAGGAGCAGGATGCCCATGGGGCTGTGTGTGTCCAGTGGAGCCATGGATGTCCCACAGAGCCCCATGTCCCCCATGGACGCACGGTTGTCCCAGAGAGCTCTGCATGTGCTGTGGAACCGTATTTGTCCCATGAAGCTGTGGATGTCCCGTGGGTGTCCTGTGAAGCTATACATGTCCATGGAAGCTTCCCATGAAACCATGCATGTCCCTGGGGGCTGTGGATGTTCCACAGAGCCACCTGTGTCCCATCTGTGGATGTCCCAAGGAGCCATTTATGTGCCATGGAGTCGTATGTATCCCTTGGAACTGGGACCCATAGATGTCCCATGGAGCCATCCGTGTTCTGTGGACCCATTAGTGTCCCCTGGAGCTGCAGATGTCCAGGCAGCCACCCATATGCCATGAACCTATGGATGCTCCACGGAGCCATTCACACCCCTTATGTGTCCCCTCCGTGGGGCAGCTCTGGCAGCAGCCACCCCCAGGCCCCATTTTGGTGTCCCCCCCCGAATCCACACAGTCCCCCACCTTCATCCTCGCCATTCCAGGCTGGTTCCCAAGCCAGCCGTGCTCCTGGCACATCCAGACCCGTTGCAATTGGGATGTTTCACCATGTGGTTAAACCGGCTCCGGCTGCAGCCGTGGGAGGAGGGACTGTGCCCACCCTGTGATTACACCCCCACACTTACAACATGGATGGGGACAGGAGGGACACAGGGACACACCCAGAGCTGTCCCACGGCACCCTGCAGCCATGGGAACTGAGTCCCACAGCCCCAAGTCCCGTCCCTGGCATGGCCCCTGCCAAAAGCAGGTCAGCCTAGACCCATGCCGCAGCTAATCCAGCCGGCAAATCCCCTGGAGGCACATGTGCTGGGCACACGTGGCCAGAGTGGGGCCAGGATGGGGCACCCAGGGGCCAGGATGTGGCACTGGAGGCTGCCTGGCACCCACCAGGCTGGGGGTGTTCAGGGGTGTCCGGTGTGGAGGGCAGTTGGGTTTTGTGGTACTCAGGTGTTGGTGTGTGCCCACGTCAGCTTGGGGCGGGGGGTGTGCCCATGTCCCTGCCTGTGCCATGGCTGTGGGTGCCCATGTCCCTGTTTCCCCAGAGCACACATGTCCCTGTGTCCCCATGTGTCCCTGTATCCACACATGGTGATGTGGTGGACATGATATCTGTGTCCCCATGCCTGTTCCTGTCCCTGTCCCTCTCCTGGTCACAGTTGGTTTCCTGGTCCCTGCGTCCATCCCTGTCTTGCTGCTGCTACCAGTACCCATTCCAGTCCCAGCCCTTGTCTCTGTCTTGCTCCCACTCCCACTCCCTGCCCCTGTTTCTCTCCTGATTCCCATCCTCCTCCTGGTCCTGGCCTTTGTCCCTGTGTTGGTCCCACTTCCTGTTGTTCTTCCAGTGCCTCTCCTTGTTCCTGTTTTCCACCTGGCTCCTGTTTCTGTTCCTGGTATCATTCTTGTTCTTGTTCCTGCCCCATCCTTGTCCCTGTCTCGATCTCCATCCTCGTCCCCATTCCCTGTCCTTGTCCCTCTCCTGGTCCCCATCCTGGTCCGTGTCCCCATCTTTGTCCCTGCTCTGCCCCAGTGTCCAGCTTGGTCATGGTCCTTGTCCCTGTCTCAGTCATGGTCCCCATTCCCTGTCATTGTACCTCTGCTGCTCTCTGTTCTCATCCTGGTCTGCATCCCCATCCCCATCCCCTTTCCCATCCCCATCCCCATCTCCATTGCCCTGCCCCTATCCCTGTCCCAGCACTGGTTCCTGTCTCTGACCCCATCCCATCCCATCCCATCCCATCCCATCCCATCCCATCCCATCCCATCCCATCCCATCCCATCCCATCCCATCCCATCCCCTGTCTCTGTCGTTATCCCGACTCTTGTCCCGATCCCTGTCCTGTCTTTATCCCGACCTTTGTCCCGATCCCTGTCCCGGTCCCCATCTCGATCCCTGTTCCTGTCTCTATCCCGACCCTTGTCCCGATCCCTGTCCTGGTCCCCATCTCGATCCCTGTTCCTGTCTCTATCCCGACCCTTGTCCCGATCCCTGTCCCTGTCCCCGTCCGGGCTCTCGGGCTCCCCCTGCGGGCGGTGGGGAGCGCGGTGGGTCCTCCCGGCCGGCAGGGGGCGCTGCGGGGCGCGGGGCGCGCAGCCATGGCGGCGGTGCGGGCGGCGCTGCTCGCTCCGCTGCTGGCGCTCGGCCGGGCCGGGTCGGGGCCCGCCACCCCCGCGCGGGTCGAGGTGGCCGTGTCAGGGCCCGGCGCGGCGGGACCGGACGGGGATGGGGCCGGCAGCGCGGCCGCGGTGCCCGACGGCTCGTACACTCTGCGCGGGGCCGTGCTGGGAGCGGGGGGCGGCCGGGCCGGGCCGGGCCGGGGGGGCCCGCGGGGGGAGCGGGAGGAGATGGAGATCCAAGGCCGCCTGGTGCTGGTGAGCGCGGGGATACGGGGAGTGGGGCTGGGGGGTGCTGTTGGCACTGGCGAGGGATTGGGAGGGGAGAAGTGGGAACTGGAAGGCACTGGGAGATATTGGGGGGAGCAGTGGGCAGTAAGGGAGGGATGGGAACAGTGGGGACAGGGGGGCAGTGGGAGACATTGAGGGGTACTGGGTATGGGGTTGGGGACGTGGGTGCTGGGTGGGTGATGAGGGGGAAGCAGTGGGAACTGGGAGACATTAAGAAATCGGGGGCATTGGCAGGGCAGTGGTCGGTGTGGGAGGGAGGGGGGATCGGTGGGCACTGTGGGCCAGGGGGTGCTGGGGTGAGTCCTTGGGCATTGGGAAAAGAATGAGGCAGGGGAGGAGTGGGAACTGAAGGGCACTGGGAGGCATTAGGGGACTGAGCAGGGCAGGCAGCCCACTGCTCAGTGTGGCCAGCAGCAGAGAGGAGGTGCAGGCAGGGGCACAGAGGCAGTGGGGGCCAGGCCGTGTTCCCTACTGTGTGTCCCTGTCCCCACACAGTGCCCGGCTCCCCAGGACCCCTGGGGGCATGTAGGTGCTTTGGGGGTGCCTTGAACCTTGGGGTCCATCCCAGCTCTTCTTCTCCTTGCCATGTCCCCAGGTGGGTGACATAGAGCCAGACCTGGGTGCTGCTGACAGCTGGATTGGGGTGGTGCCCGTGGGCACCGAGGAGCCGGGCGAGGGCCCCCGGAGTGCCAAAGAGGAGTCCTTCACCACCGCTGTTGTCACCAAGGTGACCCACTGTCTGACCCTGTCCCCTCTGCCTGACTCTGTCCCCTGCCTGGCCTGAAGGCTGACAAGGTGTTTGCAGGTCACAGACCCGCAGGGGTGTCACCTGGGGTGTCTCCTGGCCAGATCTGGGGGGTTCCTGGTCTGTGCTTGGTGGCCAGGGGGTCTCTGACACCTTCTGACTTATCTTGGGTCCATTGTGACCCTTCACCCTGGCAAGGAGTTGCTGAGTGTCTCCTGCAGCAGGACAGGAGCTTGTTGGGGACACAGCCCCGCTGTCCCCTGATCGTGTCCCCACTGCCCCTGCAGATGAAGCGAGCCCTGGTGCTGGGGGCCTCCGCCCTGCTTATCCTGGCGCTGAACCAGAACGCCATCCGTGAGGTAGGGCAGTGCTGGCGGGGGGGCCGGGCAGGGATTGTGCCCCACTGACAGCTCTGCTTCCCTCCCGCTGCAGCTGGACGTGTCCCAGCTGCTTGCCAAGCCCGTCATCGTCATCCAGTCCTCGGACAATGTCACCAGGCTGCTGGGAGCGCTGCTGCGGTACGGGCTAGGCTGTGGGAGGGGCTGGACCCTGCCTGATCCCTGCCTTGTCACTACCTTGTCCTTGCCTTGTCCCCCTGCAGTCTGTGACACCCAGGGACCACCCTGGGGGTCTCTCACTCAGCCCGTCATGTTTGCTGGGGTGGTGTTGCACCATGCCAAGGCCACCTCGGGCTGAGATGTGTTTGTAGGGGAGATCTGTGTCAGATCCAGCCCTCTCCCAGGGCTGGGGTCCTTCCATGGGTCCTCGTGTGGTGGCAGGTGTGACAGTGGCCTCAGCCAGGAGCTTTAGGACTCTAGAAATTATGCAGACCAGTTGGTTCTCATCATGGCACCGGCACCCCCACAAGCTCTGTGGGTGCTTGTTCTCACCACCAGCAGGAGTGGAACCCTGTCGATCCTTCTCACATGTGGGACATTGGGATTGCTGCCATGGTGTAACACACAGGGAAACTGAGGCATGAGGTTGGGAGGAATAGCCCTGTGCAGGGTCACTGGGGGCTGAGCACAGCTGGGAAGGAATTATCTTGCTGTCACCTCCCTTGCATGTTCCACTGATCCCCCTCGGTCACTGCCCATCCCTGTGGGGAGGGAGTCCTCCCTGGCACTGGGGGGCTGTGCCTGGATCGTGCTGTGTCCATTGAATTGACACTTTTCTCACAGGGGGCTCCGAGCTACGGCGAAGATCACATACCAGGCAGTTCTGCTGGAGAACCTGGTATGTCTGTCTGTCCTCCTCTTCCTCATTCTCCAGTGGAGAGACAGGCATGACTGTGCCTAGCCAAACTTCCCTGATGCATGGGAAGGGAAGGGAAGGGAAGGGAAGGGAAGGGAAGGGAAGGGAAGGGAACCCATGGGAACAGCACAGCTGGCAGCAGCAGTGCTCCTCCTCCTGGGACACGTGTGCTCACATTGCCTGTGGCCATCAGCAATGCCGTGTCCTGCCTTGCAGGGAGTGACCCTCACACTGTGGTCCACCTGCGGTCTGTCCCGAGGGGGCCTCTATGGGGAGTGGCAGGGGGTCATCTGCCCTGGGGAGAGCAGCTCGCAGGTCCAGGTACGGTGCTGGGGTTTGGGTGGGGCTGAGAGTGGGGCCAGATCTCTGGCTCCTGTCCCCACTGCGCTGTCCCCACAGAAGTACCTGCAGCAGCTGTGGAACACCATCCTGCTGATTGCCCTGCTGCTCTGCACCGGCGTCATGGTGCAGGCCCAGCGCCAGTCGCGGCAGGACCTGTCGGAGCGGGATGCCGAGGTGGGAATGTGGGAATGTCTCCGCTGTGCGCCGTGCCGGGGGTTGTGGAGTGGGCTCTGACCCCTGGCTCTGTCCCCACAGCTGGACCTGAAGCAGCACATCCGGCGGAGGCTGTTAGCACTGAAAACCCGGCGGTACCATCCTGGGAAGCCGCCCCGGACCCAGGCCTGCGAGATCGACAGCTGTGCTGTCTGCCTGGACCAGTTCCACAAGAGCCAGGTGGGACTGGGCAGACTGGAGCCCACCCTAGGCTGAGCCTCCAGTCGCTGGCCAAGGCCAGGGTGCCCTTGCCAGGGTCTGGGCTATGTCCCTGCCACCCTGCTGTGCTCACATGTGCCCTCACTTCCCTGCTGGCAGTGGCTGCGGGTGCTGCCCTGCTCCCATGAGTTCCACCGGGACTGTGTGGATCCCTGGCTCCTGCTGCAGCAGACCTGCCCTCTCTGCAAGCGCAACATCCTGGGTGAGAACCGGCCTGGCACCCAGCCCAGCCCCTGGGCACGGGCTGGGGAGGACCTGGAGCCTGCCAAGCTCCCTGTGCCAAGGCTCTCTGTCCTCCCTTGCAGGGAACTGCTGCACGGACAGCTAGCTGGCCCGAGGACACACTGCAGGGACAGACCCATGGCTGCTCCAGGGACAGGGAGGGGGGCAGGGGGTGCCCAGCAAGCGGCGCTTGCTGCTGGAGCAGGGTTGGTGTGGCTGTGCCCTCACAGTGCCCAGACTTCGGAGAGGGAAGGACTCGGGGCTCTCCTGCCGGGTTTGAGTAGAGGGGTGGCGGGTCCAGATGGGCAGTATTGGGGAGGGAGGATTTGGGGCACCCATGGGTGTAACAGGGTGGGGGCTGGGGCAGGGAGAGCCCTGGTCCTGCTGTGCTCTTGCCCTGCTCACAGCAATTTTTCTAAGTCTTGGGTTTTTTGTCTATTTACTGGTGGCCGTGGCAGGGTAGGCAGAGCCTGGCTGCAGTGCCAGCCCCTCTGGGAGGTGGGTGGCCAGGGCTAGGGCTGGCAGGGCTGTGGGGAGACTCATGGCCTCACTATGTGGGAGGGCAGGGGTCAGACGCTTTATTTATAATAAATTATTAGAAAGGATGGCACGAGTTGGCTGCAGAGCCAACACAGGCTTGGCTCACCCAGCACAGTGACTGGGGACATGCCATGGGCCCTGCCCGGATCCTGTCCCACAGGCTGCTACATGGCACGTGTCCATCCCTATTAAACATGGAGCAAGGACTGGCTGTGTGGTTTGTGTGGGGCGTGCATGGGGCTCACAGTGCTGGGGAGGCAGCTCAGAGGTCAGGGCCAGCCTGTGCCAGTGACTCAGTGGTTCCCAGCCCCTCTGGGTGCTCGTGGAGCGGGGACTTTGCCAGGTTGTGGCTGTGCTGGTGGGCTAAGGGCAGCTCTGCTTTCTTCTTCCAAGTGTGGCCACATCCCAGTGTCTTGGGAATGGTTGCTAGCAGGAGCTAGCACAAGCTGTGCCCTGGCATCAGCCCCAGGGCTCTTCTGGGGACTCCAGCAGCAGCGTAGCCAGGGGTGACAAGCTCCAGAGCCCAGGAACGTCCCTGGAGCAGCTCCCCACGGAACAAGGCAGAGCCCAGGTTTCCCGAGGGAATTCGCCTTCCTGACACACAGAGAACCAGTAATGAGGTCCCCTGGGCTGGGGCAGGGCAGGTGGCTGCTGGTGGAACACAATTTCTCTATCAGGAAATTCAGAGTGATCCGTGTTTATTTTTGGTGAGCCCTGGTGTGGTGTGAGGGGAGGTCAAGCCCCAGGTGTCGCACTGGGAGTGTTAGGCAGGGTTTGGTCTGGAACGTGGGCTCTGCCCGGAGCTGCTTGGAGTGCTGGCTGCTGGGAGCTCTGTGCCAGGCCTTGTCAGTGTATCCCAGCATCCCTGGGCTGGCCCTGCTGCTTCCACTGCTGAGCCTCCTGCGGGGTGGGAGCAATTAAAGGGGAGGAAGAGCAGGGAACCCGCCCCCAGCCCCTTCCTCTGGGTTCCTACTCACCCAGTGTCCTGCCTGCTGGCCTCCCTGCGGAGCTGGGACCCCAGTTGGGCCTGTGGGACGAGCTGGGGAAGGGAAGAGGAGGTGAAATTTCCCCCCGAGAGCTTCAGCTCCAGTCACATCCCTTGGCCACCACAGCTGGTGATGGATAGGAGCTGGAACCAGCCTCGGGCACTTCAGGCAACACCAGTTAAACTAGAGCGACCTCCCAGCAGCATGAGGAGCCTGGGCTTGGCCCTCCCGGCGTCCCTAGAGGATGTCTGGGGGCCACGGAGTGGTTTTGGGGTACACAGCACCCACCCCTGTGGCACCCAGCTCACCTTGAGCACGCCCTGCTCAGCTGCTGCCTTCACCTTGGCGAGCAGAGCCTCGAGCTGTGCATTCTCCCGCTCCAGCACCTCGATCCGGATGTTGTTGGCCTGGAGCTGACTCTCCATGTCCTCTGTCAAGTTCCCACTGCCTGCAAACAAAATCCAAGAGAGCCCAGCCTGCTGCTGCTGCTGCTGCTGCCTGCCTGCTCAGAGGTGTGGCCATCCCTCCTGCCTCCCAAGGAAAGGAGCCTGCCTGGGCAGGGAGCACCGGCATAGCCCAGGAAGTGGCAGCTGGGACCCCAAGCCCTGTGGGCAAAGGAAGCTCTACCATGTCCTGGTCCTGTTGTACTTCCTGGCCCAGACGTGGAATGCACAGCACCCATGCAGGGAAGCACGTTGGGATGGTCACAGCTTTGCATGGGGTCTGAGCCCTTCCTATTATCAGTGGGACAAATGGAGTGTCTGGGGCAAGCAGGATGCCCTGGGAGCTCTGGAGACCCCAAGGCACAAACCCACTGTGCTGCCATCTGCTCCCTTACTCTCAAAGTGCATCTCAGTGGGGACGTGGAGATCAGGGAAGAACACCAGGAGCCTTTCCCGCTCTCTCAGCTCCTGTGCCTGTTCCTCCAGCCGGGATATGTTTGCCTGCAGCTCCAGGATGGATTGCTCCAGTGCCAGCTTCTCCTGCTGCAGCGTGTCCAGCAGCTCCTGCATGGCACAGCAGGGAGGACATGAAGTTTGTAAGAGTGAGGACTCAGCCCTTCATGGAAAGCTCCAACATTTCCTATGACAGTGGGAAGTGGACAGTGACAATGTGCAGAGTTTTAGCTGTGAGATCCCTGTGTATGCTGGAAGCAGGAGCACCAGCCATGAAGTGTGGAGCATGTCCAGGTGTCCAAGAACAGAACACTGGAGATGTGGAAGCTGCTCCCCTCTGCCCTGACTCACCCAGAGACTTGTCTGGCACAGGGTGGAGGGAGAAGGCTCTTCCCCAAGAATCCCATGAGGACATGGCCATGAGGCAATGTCACCCCAGGCCCCAGAGTATCCCTCCTGGGAAAATTCTGGCTGTGGGACAAGGCAGTGTGGCTCCTGACAGCCCTGTGGCACAGGCTGTGTCCTACACCTGGGTACCAGCATTCACCTGCTGTGCCTGGAGCTGTTTCCCACTCTGCTCCCGGCTCTGCTCCAGCTGCTCTGCCAGCCGGGCCTTGTTCTCCTCAGCCTCTCCCAGGCTGGCCTGCAGCTCCTCACGCTCCTGGTCCAGGCTGTCCAGCTGCTGCAGCAGGGTCCTCTGCTTAGCCTGCAGGGACTGTGGTGGAGGGGTGAGCCTGTGTGGGGCTGTGGCAGCCATTCCCCACAGTCCTGGCACCGGGCAGCAGCTCAGCCATTCCCAGTGCTCTGGAGCCGGCCGTACCTCCTGGTGCCGGAACATGCTCTCCACACGGACCTTCTCCTTCTCCAGCTGCACACTGGTGGCACTCAGCTTCTGCTCCAGGCTGTCCCTCTGATCTGTGAGTGCCTGCACCTTCTCCTCCAACTCCAGCATTTCTTTCCGGGCCACCATTGTGGTCCTCATCTCCTCCATCAAGATGGTCTTGGAGAGCTCTGGGAAGACACAGCCACCATGGCCCAGGCTGGGCACGGGTGAGAAGCTGGAGCACCGTGGAGGTGATGAGAGGGATGGGGGTGTTTAGCCTGAAGAAGAGAAGGCTCCAGAGAGAACTTAAGAACCTTTTCCAGTTCCTAGAGGGGCTCCAAAAGAGCTGGGGAGAGACTTGGGACAAGAGCCTGGAGTGACAAAACCAGGGGGAATGGCTTCCCACTGCCAGAGGGCAGAGTTAGATGGGATAGGGGGAAGAGATTATTCCCTATGAGGGTGCTGAGGCCCTGGCACAAGGTGCCCAGAGAAGCTCTGGCTGCCTCTGGATCCCTGGAACTGTCCAAAGACAGGGCTTGGAGCAGCCTGAATAGTGGAAGGTCCCTGCCCATGACAGGGGGTGAAATGGGAATGTCTTTAATGTCCCTGCCCATCCAACCAGTCCGTGATTCTGTGGTTCAGAGGCACCCCATGCCCTCCACAGGCCCTGGCAAAGGGAGGCAGGTCTGACAGGAGGCCTGTGAACCCCCCCAAACCTCCACCAGCATCAGCCCACTCTGGTACTGGATGATATTGGGGTGCTGCTGTGAAGGAGGCCCATCCTCTGCCCATCTCCATGAGCTCTACAGCCCAATGTGGGGGTGCTAGGGGCTACATGGGTGTGAAACACTCATGAGGCCAGGATGAGGGGGGAGCTGGGTTTGAGCTGGGTGAGCCCCTGGGCGAGCCCCTTACCCAACTCCTGCACAGACACCTGCTTTGCTTCCAGCTCCTCCTTCAGGGCCAAGAGTTGCTCCTCCAGCAGAGCAGCTCCTAAAACAGCAAAAAAACCCTCTCATTAATCAGTTCTTCAAAAAAAAAAAAAACTAAACCAAGGGGCAGCAAACAGCCACACGAAAGGGTTTTCATCCAGTGATTGTGTTGTTCTGCCAGGGAGGAGGCAGTGATAGGATCCAGATAACCAGCTCTCACTGCCCAGGATTAGCCTCACACCAGGGAAAATCCCCCAGCACCTACAGAAAGCCCTGCTGGTTGTTGGTGGGGCCAAAATTTGCCCATGGACTCTGTTGTTCTCCTGAAAATGCCCCCGGGCGTGGGAGGGGATGCTGGGAACAGCTCTGTACCTCTCCGGAGATCGTCCTTGTCCCGCTCCAGCCTGGCCACAGCCTCGGAATGCTCCTTTTCCTTGGCTTTCAGGCTCTGCTCAGCGTTCCTCTGCTGCTCTGCTTGGGTGTCCTTCTCTGCCTGCAGCTTCCTGGAAAAGTCCTCAACCTGTTTCTGAAGCTTCTCCTTCTGTTTGCCCATCTTTTCCAGCTCAGCCTTCACGGGGTTCACCTGCTGCAGCAGCCCCTGGAGGTGTTTGTTGATCCGGGAGAGGTCCTTGCTCTGCTCTGCAGCCCAGTAGCTCATGTCTGTTGCAGAGAGGTTCCTTCTCCCTGCGCTGTCCTCCAGCGCCTCCTGGAATTTGCTGAGAGCTGAAGGGATGTTCTGGCTCTGGCAGATGCTGATGATGGCTCTGCCCACCTCGTGGAGGCTGGCCTGGGCACTGGAGCAGGTGTCACAGGAGGCCAGGGGTGACCCCGGGGTCTGTGTGGGGACACTGCGGGTGCTCTGAGCCCGGCTGGAGCCAGCCCTGGGCTGGAAGCTGCCTGAGCTGCCCAGCACATGGACACTCGGACACAGGCACACAGAGGTGGACTGGGCACCTTCTGGGGCAGTTCCTGACTCCAAAACATCGGGCAAGAAGCTTTTCAGGTGCTCCTTCTGGTATTTTCCAGCCTGGGGAGTAGAGAATCGAGTGGATTGCTGTGCGGGAATCTCCCACCTGCAATACTTCTCCAGAGGGAGAAAGCACTAAACAAAACCAGAGCCCACATCAAAGTGGAAATGACCCATAAAAGCCGAAATCAGGTGTGGAGATAGGACAGCAATGTAGCCAAGGGACAGTGACCAAGGGCAAGCTCAGCAGCAAAACCTACTCCCCAAGTCCCCACCATCTCTTCTTTCCCACCCCCTGCACTGCCTCCTGGTTTTGCCACATGGATTGTTGTGAGACTTTTCCATGAGAAATATAATTTTGGGGAAAATAAAATGCAGGAGAGGTTCTTTTTACTACCAATTATTTCACTGTCTTGAGGCAGCTCAGATCCACAGCGGGATCAGCAGAGCTGCAGCATTTTGGCAGTAGGAGTATATTTTCCAAGCTCTAGAGACAGCCCAACTCACTCATGCCAAGATCCTGGAGCAGGATGGATGCAGTGGAACAGCTGGGAGGGGTGGGGTGGAGGGAAGGGACTCAGGCTGGGAGGGGACAGATGTGTGACACAGGAGCCAGCACTCAAAACTTGCACACACATCTGGTGTGGCCACAGGGTGTTGAGAAGGACCACGATCCAAATCCTGGGGGGAGGGGAGTGACTCAGCTCACGGGACATCCCCAAATGTCCCACCTCGTCCCGGAGCTGCTGGCAGAAGGCCCCGAGTTTCAGCATGGTGCTCCAGAAGGTCCTGGCCGTGAGCCCCGCAGACATGCAGGGCCCCAGGCCCCGCGTGGGTGGCACTGCCCGCCCGCTCAGCAGCGTCTCTGCGTACCCCGTGAAGCTCTGCAGCAGCAGCAGCAGCCTGTCCCGATGGGAAAACACGGCTTGGAGCAACGGCAGCTGGGAATGCGACCCCTCCTGTCACCCACACAAAGCTGGTGTGATGCACGAAGGTGGGATTGGTGCTCCCGGGGCTCCCCAGGTGTGGATCACTTCATGCAGCAGCCACTTCCGAGAGACTGTGATTAAGCTCCCCCCTAAGATTTGGAGCACGCGTACTGCTGACTCTTAGGGCCAAAAGCTCAGTGGGAATGGCTCATCTTTCAAATCAGAGCTGTATTTATTTCACCCAGACTGCAAAAGGGGCTTTGACCTTCCAGGGCTGTCGATACATCTGTGTCCAAGTGTTTCCAAGGATTTGGGAGGGAGTTTAACAAGCCTGTCCCATCTGCTCCACCTCAGTTCTTGGCTGGAGCATGTCTGGCTCTGCTTCTTCATGGCCAGTTTGTGCTGGGAGCTCTAAGCAGGGAAAGGAGTTGGGTTTTAAAGCTCAGCAGGGCATGAGGCCGAGGTGTTGACCATGGAAATACAAGGGCAACAAAGCATCCAAAAGTTTTCATAAAATCATGGGACATCCTGAGCTGGAAGGGACTCAGGGATTATCCAGTCCAACTCCTGGCCCTGCACAGACACCCCAACAATTCCACCTTGTGCCTGAGAGCATTGTCCAAAGGCTCCTGGAGCTCTGGCAGCCTTGGGCTGTGATGGGGCACTTGGTGCCATGGTTTAATTGATAAGGTGGTGTTATGTCACAGGTTGAACCTAATGATCTCCAAGGTCTTTTCCAACCTAGCTGATTCTGTGATCATTCTCTGGGGAGTGTTCAGGCACCCTCTGGGGAAAGAAGAACCTTGACCTGATATCCAGCCTAAACCTCCCTGGCACAGCTCCAGCCATTCCTTTGAATCCCATCCCTGGTCACAGACATCAGAGGTATCCCTGGGGAGGAGCTGCAGCCCCGGTGAGGTCTGACCTCAGTCTTGTCTGTTCCAGCTCTCACCCTCAGCCCTTCACCACCCTCTCAGCCTTCACTTGGACATTCTCTAATAGCTTTAATTCCTTTCTGTGCTGAAGTGCCCAAAACTTGGATAAGCTCAGCGTGTCAGATATACAACTCCCCTTCCCCTGCGGGGTTAGGAGCGGTTCCGGGGTGCCTGGGGCCTCTCACCTGTCTATGACCAGCTCCAGCAGCACCACGTGTGCGTGCTGGCTGAACTCGGGGTCGCTGTCGCTGTGCCTGTAGCGCTGCAGCAGCACGGATATGTCCAGGTCGCAGGACACCTTGTCGGGGAACTTCCAGGATGGGAAGCGCACGGCGCCGGCCCGAGAGCACACGTCGGCGATGGCGGCCTGCAGGTCCCGCAGGTCGGCCCGCAGACTCTCCATGCAGCCGCGGTGGCCCAGGAGGTGCGCCATGGTGCGGGGTGGGACGGGACGGGGGGACACGGCCTGGGAACAACGGGGCCACCACGCCAGGGACCGATAGGGTCAACAAGCCTGGGATGGAGGGAACGCCCTACCGGGACCGGCACAGTACCCCCCCGGGTCCGGCGGTCTCCAGGAGTGCTGGGAAACCGGAGGGAACCGGGGGGATCGGAGGAATCAGCAGCAACGGCGGAGAAGAAACGCCGGGCCCGGGGCCTGTGCTAGGCCTCGGCGTCCCAGCCCTGTCGCCGTGGCAACCACGCCCCTCCCGCGCCGCAGTGGTGCAGTCCTGATTTGGGGGCCCTCCCGTGCGGGGCGCTAATGGTACATCCCGTGGCGCACGCGCACCCTGCGCCCACCCAGTTCCCGGCAATCTGCGCCTGCGCTCCTGGCGGCCTTGCGTCACCTCCGGCGCGCACGCGCGGCACAGCGCCCGCCGCCGCCATTTCGCCCCAGTCGGTGCCGGCGCCGCGTCTGTTTCGGACCGAGTCTCGCCCGCCCTTCGATCGGCCCCGCCCGGCGCGGACCCCCTGTCCCCGGCAGCGCCATGCCCGCCGGACCCGTGCAGGCTGTGCCTCCGGCGCAGCCCGCGCCCCCCGCCGAGAGCAAACCGGTGCGGGCCGGGGAGGAGGGCGGTGAGGCAGGGGAGGGGAGCGGGGCATGGCGCGAAACGCGGGGGTTTGGGAGTGTGGCCCTCACGGACCGGTCTGGGCTGGGTTTGGGGGAGCTGCAGTTTCATCTGGTGCGCGGCATTGACCTCTGTGCCCGCTCAGGTGAGACCTCACCTGCAGAGCTGCCTCCAGCCCTGGGGCCCAGCACAGGAGGGACCTGGAGCTGCTGGAGAGAGTCCAGAGGAGGCCACAGAGATCCTCCAAGGGCTGGATCCAGGCTGGGAGAGCTGGGGGTGCTCACCTGGAGAAGAGAAGGATCTGGGGAGAGCTCAGAGCCCCTTCCAGGGCCTAAAGGGGCTTCAGGAGAGCTGGAGAGAGACTGGGGACAAGGGATGGAGGGACAGGACACAGGGAATGGCTTCGCGTTGCCAGAGGACAGGCCTATTACAAAGGGATCGTTCCCTGTGAGGGTGGGCAGGCCCTGGCACAGGGTGCCCAGAGGAGCTGTGGCTGCCCCTGGATCCTTGGAAGTGTCCAAGCAGCTTGGGATAGTGGGAGATGTCCCTGCCCATGGCAATGGGATGGGATTAGACAAGCTTTAGGTTGCCTTCCCACCCAAACCATTCCAGGATTCCTTCAAGACAGCAGCATCGTGCTGGGGCTGGGCAGGAACGGAGCCCTTCCCTGGCAGTGCCCCAGGGCTGTGATTCCAATGAGTATGGCGGGTTGCCAGGAGCTGTGGGAGCTGCCCTGGCTCCAGGAATGATGTATGGAAGTCCGAGGGAGTGTGGCAGTACTGTGTATCCCAGTACTCTCCCAGATCCTTTCTCTCTTGGCCATATTCATGTTCTTCACAGCCTTCCTGCTAATGGGACTACAGCTCCCACGGAGCTGGAGCTGCTGTTCTGGCTCTCACACAGCAACATCAGCACTCTTGGAGCTGACAGGGAGCTGATCTCACTGAGAACCTTGGAAAATTGTGATTCCTCCCCCGAAAACCCAGTGACTTTTATTCACTGATGTTGCCAAGGCAACTCAGCATCGCTGTTAAATAAAGTATCTCAAGTGTAGTGTTGCCTCATCTTTCAGCTCCTCAAGATGATGTTCTGAGGGAGTGGGAATAAAAACTAAAAATGTTCATGGTGCCTTTCACTTAACACACTTTATTAAGGTTGTATTTTATGGAATGGTTTGCATTGGAAGTGACTTTAAAGCCCATCTCATCCTACTCCCTGCCAGGGCAGGGACACCTTCCACTATCCCAGGGTGCTCCAAGCCTTGTCCAGCATGACCTTGGACATTTCCAGGGATCAGTTTAACTTGAGAACATTTTCTGGCTTGGATTCTCCATGGAATTGGCAGAGCTGGAAGTTTTATCTGGATTTTAAGTTATCCTTGACTGTCCCTGTTAGGGTTATGAACATTTCCAGCAGATCTGTCCTGGTTTATAACCCCTCTTCTTAGAGAGGTGAGGAAGGACAAACACTGGTTTTACTGGAATATTGAGCCGTCCACAGGGAGGGTTCTGGAATTTTAGTTTGGATCCTCCTCCAGTGAGAAAAACACTCTGTTGGAGATTTTCTCTTCAAAATAGCTTCTGTTGAAACTGCAAAAGAGTTGCATTAAAAGCTGTGTTTTATTTAATGTGGTGTTAGTAATTCAGGACTCACAGGCCCCTAGGAACATTCAAATTTCCACACCTGTGAAGAGTGATGAATTATTCCTGGGAATGCAAGTAGAGTCTCTTGGCTCAGCATTTAAAAACATACTTGGGGTCGAAGCTGATATAGTGAAAACTGTTTTGGTTCTCATGGGGGTTTCCTTGTTGTCCTGCTGTCCCTACCCCTGCAGCAGGTGCCCCTGAGAGGCAGAAGGTTGTTTTCACCCTAAGAAACCAAGGAATTGGTGGGATGGATGATCCAGATTGTTCAACCAGTTCAGTGATTGAGAGGCTGAGGAGGAGGATGGCTAAATGTTCCTGCGTGCCACTGGGATTGTGTTTGGAATGCCTAATCCTGACACCCCTTCACCTTTTGTAATGAAACAATCTTTATTACAGCCAGAAGAGGAGCCAAAAGAGGAAGCAGCACCAGCCAAGCCTGTGGTGGGAATTATTTACCCTCCTCCAGAAGTCAGGAATATTGTGGACAAGACTGCCAGCTTCGTAGCCAGGTAAGTGACACCGGTGGTGTCTCTTTTTCCTGGGATTTTCATGCTTCTGCTGTTCAGTGCAGCTCCAGAAGCTAAAGCAGGTCCCAGTTTTGTGATTTTGCATGAAGGATATTTAAGGATTGAGGCTGTACCAGTGAGACTGGAAAAGAAACAACAATATTCTACTGAAGAGGGTGTAACACGCCCTTTGCTAGAGAAACTGGTAGTAAATAAATTAAGTCCTTGTTGAGATGTGCAATGGGTGCTGCAATTAACTGGGCAACAGGGTCTGTTCTGAATGATCTGAAGGGAAAACCAAATTCCAGGTGCAAAGGGAGCCTTGGTGCAGGAGTCATGGCTGCATTTTAGTGCTAAAATGTGGTTGGTTTTAGAGAATTACTAAATGTTGCTCCAGTCAAACCCTTATTGTGTAACTCATCTCTAAAGTGCTGCCAAGGAGTGTTGGCTGCTTCTGAGCATAAGGAAGGGACTGTGTTTATCCTTTGGGATTGTAGAGACCTCCTCTTTTGGAGGAGGCAGAATGTTTAAATGAGCCTGGGAGATATCCAGAGAATTTGAAGAGGAACACCCTGTGGCAGCTGGGAATTTTCTCAAACTGCCCTGAAATAACTGGCTCGTGCTTTAGCTGGGGGGAGGGGTATGTTACCTGGACTGGGGCTCCTAAATGCAGTACTCTGGGCTGGTCAGTCCTTGCAGATGGTTACTTGCTTTTTTTCCTTATATGATCATTCTGGAACCGAAATTAATCTTGAAAACTTGCTATTAACGCAGATAAAATTGATGTAGTAAGTAAGTTGTGAATTTCGTGCTTCATAAAGTTCAGTCAGTGGTGGAAATGACCTTTGAGTGCAGACAGATGTGACTGTGGAGCACTTGTGAGTGTGAATTTTTAATATTCACACTAAAGACAAAATTAGGGTGACAGTTGCCTCTAACTTGTGTGTGTCCAGCTGCGTATGAGCTACTGAGAGAGAAACTCCTCCCATGTAAGAGAGAAAATGATCTTCCAAGGGGCTGATGCCTCAACAAGCCTCAAAGAGACATTTACACTTGAGTTGATGGCCTAAACAATTGTTCCTGTTGCTCCCCAGAAATGGTCCAGAATTTGAAGCCCGAATTCGTCAGAATGAAATAAATAACCCCAAATTCAACTTCTTGAACCCCAACGACCCTTACCATGCCTACTACCGGCACAAGGTCAGCGAGTTCAAGGAGGGCAAAGCCCAGGAGCCCTCAGCTGCCATCCCCAAGGTCATGCAGCAGCAGCAGAGTGCCCAGCAGCAGCTCCCACAGAAGGTGAGTGTTCCTTTTCATCACTTTGGGGAAGAATTTCATCACTTTGGAGTGGTGTCACAGCCTGGAGTAGAGAAGGAAGGAAGCTCAAAAGCCAAGAAGGAGCAGTTGGTTATACATTTGTCAAAATGCCAGCAGTGACAGGCTTGGAGTTGACTGTCTGGGTCTTTGTTTTGATGCAGATGTGCATCTCCAGATGCTGGTAACTCAGAGTTGTTTGAAACTGCCAGTATACAGCTTAATTGGTCCATTTTAATTAAGTTTAACTCTGTATTGAGTGATGAAATACTTACACTAAGGATCACTTGGACTGGATGTGGCAGAGGCAAGCCTTGAGAATCCCCTGGAGTTCTGTTTGCCCTTGTTGCATGCACTGTTTTGTAGAAACTCTTTCTGCCAGAAGGATCAACCTCCCCTTAAAACATGGCGTAAAAAACGCTGCTCACCTTATTCAGCTGTGCCTTTAAACATACTGGGTGGGAAAAGGGCATGGAGTGAATCCAGGGCTTTTCTATGCCATCCTGGCCAGCAGTCACACTGTGGTGTTCGTGGCTCTTGGAGGGATGTAGCAAAGTCCTGATACTTTCCAGATTTGTTTGCTGTTGGAGCAACATATACCTGGTGTTTTCTCATCCTTGCACCTGCCAGGATGGCAACTGGCATTGCTTTCCCACGGCAGCTGGAGGAAAACAAAGATTCTCCTGAGTGTTTGGTGAGCATTCCTTGCAGCCTGTGTCTGTTCTCCGTGCAGGTGCAGGCCCAGGTGATCCAGGAGACCGTGGTTCCGAAGGAGCCCCCGCCCGAGTTCGAGTTCATCGCGGACCCTCCGTCCATCTCGGCCTTCGACCTGGACGTGGTGAAGCTCACAGCACAGTTTGTGGCCCGTAATGGGAGGCAGTTCCTCACCCAGCTCAT